TATTCAATATTTATAAAAAATGAGATATATAGTTACAAATACAGTATATAATTAAAATTTTATTTACTAGCTATACATCTAAATAATACTTATCGGCATTGTTTCAAAATTTGAACATGAATGATCTCAAAAGTAGGGTGAAACAAGAACCCAAAATATCTGATCTTATCGCTCTTTTTAATTCTATTAATGACTAATATTGTAAAATACAAATTCACAGACTCGGTCAAATCAATAACCCGAAAAGAGCAATGAAATAATTTCAAACTAACCTAAATAATTCAAAAAGAACTTCTGTGAGTAATTTAGAATTTTTTGAACTCAAATAGTCTTAAAATAAAGCCATAATAACTCGATATATATGCATATAACCAATTCTTACCTCAATTTAACTAAGTTTGATATTTCAAATGGAATACCCAGCTCTTGAACTCAAGTTTATAAAAATTTTAAGAGTTGGGTATCTGGTATGGTATGTCATACTTAGAATTTTGTCTATATGCATACTTCGTTTGAAATAACTCACATGAAATTAAAGATACTAATGCGGTAATAAGTCAGGCATTGTCATAAATAAGAATAGTTTTTGGAGTTTTATTCATGTGTGATTTTAAGAGAAAACTGCACATATTCTAGTATTATTGTATAGCGCTGAATATAGTCCCCTTGAAAAAGTATCCCCTTAAATATTATCAGGAACTGTTCAATTGCACTTTTTTGAAAAAGTATTAATCAAGTATCCTGAATCAATGATCCTTTTATAAATCAACACATATTACTTCAAGCACTTATCTCAAATCAATGATCCTATTATAAATCAACTCCCTGTATAGTATCCCTTCTTTTCATGCAGAACGACGGATCAAGACCGATGATTTTCTGTATTTCATGGAATGCTGCAGAAATTACGGAATCAAGTTGCAAACACAGAATGTGTCAAGGATTGCACGGCATTGTTGTAGAAAGTAGAGACATGGTATCATAACCCTGCCTGGAGTATTGTTTAATTTATCTCGGATTTCTTGTAAAAGCCCGGAATACTATATGCAGCACTATACGGTCAGTATTTAATTGGCAACAGGTTTTTCCTTGATATACTTAAACTGAAAATTAAATTAAATATCTTTAATATTTGCATTAGTATATACATTAAATATATCACGAATGATTTTTTTTATACGGGAATGCGTAGATTCGAAAAAAGGTTAAAATTATATATGTAGATTATCGCCAATTTTTATTATTGCAGATCACTGGTTCCCATGCGAATCACGAATTAAGTTATAATATGAAAGAATGTTTAAAACTTTTTTGTATGTCTACAGGCTCTAACGAGTCTTATCATAACGTGCTCTGGATATAATAAACAATAGATCTTTAAACATTATATTAGTTCAGTATAAAAGGTGTGGTAGATATTTAAAAAATATTATTAAATTAAATAGCGATAAAGTACCAGGAAAGGAGTGATATTGGAAATTTCACGAAGTGTATACCAAGAACGTAGTGCAAAGTACGGAGTGTATGGTTAAATACAAAGTTTTGCGTTCGTCCGCAAAATCTTGATTTTGATTGGATGCAATAAT